ATTGGCTCGCGATATCCGCCGTGGGAATCGCTCGAGCTCGCCCGCTCGCTCGGTATATCAGGGGATGAACGCGCCCAGGGAGAGGCGGGGGCCTGATCCCAGCCGCCTCCGCCGCCTCCGCCGCGACGATTCGTCATAGGCGCGGAGAGCAGCGTCGAAGGCCGCCTTGGCTCGCGGCGACAAATGCACTTAATGTCCGCGCGCGGGGCTCCTTTTTGCCGGGCGAGCGGGCGCCGCGAAAAAAGCCCGAGCTAAGTAGCGGCCCAGGCAGACGGCCTGCAGCACGAGCTTGGCAGCGGCTGCCGGACAAATTAAAATAATAACTCTGGCGGGCGCGCTCGCGGCGAATAGAAAAAGCGGGCCGCCGCGGCCGTATCTCGCGCGCGAGGTGCCGCGGAAAAAGCTCCGAGGCGCTCTCGGGGGCGCATTGTCGGCGCGGCGCCGCTGCGGCTGCTGGTCGCGCGAGGGGAGCGCCTGCCCGAGAGAGCGAGAGAGGCAGCTGCGCAATCGATTAAAGGGTTGGCCGTCAAAGCCGCCGCGACGCTTGGCGACACGTCTCTGCCTCCATCAATTATTCATCCCCCGCGTTCGGCGCGGCTTTTTCTCCGAGTTGCCCGCGCAAGTGTATCTTGGGCGCGAAACCGCAACGACGCCGGCTCATAATTAACGGGCATAAATTAGCGACGGGGGCATCGGCCGGCCACGCGCCTCGCTGTCTAAACGAGCGCGAGTAAGCTGTGCGCCGAGCGCGTCGGTGATTGATATAGCGCGATGCAGCCCCGGCCTGACACCCACCTCGCCGTCCGCTCGCTGGCTGCGCGTGGACGGACGGACGGACGCGCCGCGACCGACGCGAGACAGCCAGCCAAGCCGCCCGGCTGGCCGTGGCCTCGTGCGGACCGAGGCTCGGATGTGTGCCAGCGCTTTTTCCTTCGGCTCGGACTTGTGCCAGTGGAACGAGGCCCGCAACGGTCAGACGCGCGGCACTCGATACGCCAGCGGAAGAGCCGCACCGAGGGCCAGGAAGCGCGACGCGCGACGCGCGGCGAGATTGGCCAAAGTCGAGTGGCAGCGGAACAAACGGCGAAAGAGAGAAGGGGCGGGGAGGGGGAGAGGCTGATTTCTCGGATTTTGCGTGTATTGTTTGTTCGTTCGGAATCTGCTTGTCTGTCGGCGGAGGAAGAGTATCAATTGTTGGCAGTACAAAAGGAGCCGGCGGCGAGGGAGGGAGGCGGCGCTGCGAATTCTTAAGAGAATTTAGGCGTTTGAATAGCTGGCAAATCCACGGCAAATGTTTACACGCGGGCTCGGGGCTTTGCGCGGGTTTGCGCGCCAGTTATGCCGCTCCACTGGTTTTTCTATCGGAGCGCGCGTCTGCTCGGAAAAATCGGGCTCGGCGTCGGCGCCCGCTCCGCAGGGAGAGACCGCAGCGATCAGTATAGTCGGGCTTGCGGGGGCGAGCAGCGCCGCCAGTTCGTCTTGGCTGGGGCGCGTCTTGGACGGAAAGAAGCGCTGTCGGCCCTCAAGACAAACAGTGGCGGTGTCTTAACAAGTGGACCAAGCTGCGCCCAAGACAAAGGGTAATTGAGCCCGGGGATTGATGCCCCTATAGCGCTCTCGACTCTCGCCAAGCCGGAAGGCGGCCGACGACGACTCCGGACTCCGGACTCGCGGCATCCGGCGCCGCGGTCATCCTGCTAATTAAGCAATCAAATACGGGCGGCCGACATCGATCGTCGCGCGCTCCCACACTTTCGAGGCCCGCATCCGATCAGCTCCTCGCCAATAACAGCCGAACGAGGCTGCCGACTCGCCCACCCAAACGAAACAACGACTCCCCTCGCCATTCGCGCATTATCAAATATTGAGGCACGCCGTCGTCGTCGTCGTCGTCGTCGGCGGCGGCGGCGGCGGCGGCGTCGTCCTCCTCGTCCAAGTCGGCGCAGCCAGTTGGGCAATGAGCGGCTCGGGGCTCGATATCTGTTTAGCCTGGGCATCTCGGCATCTTGGCAGCCGGCGAGGGAGGGGCCATGAATAAATGAGCACTCGATTTTCGACTTGGCAGCAGGCGAACTTGCGAGTCGTCGTTTTCACGGCTCATTCGTATTTGAAGCCGAGAGCGACGGCGCGCTCGGGGAGGCTGCGCGGCCGATCCAGTGATCGGCGACAGCGCCGGCTCGGCACACGCGCGAGCCGACGGCTTTCCGAAGACGAGCAGGCGGCAGCAGCGAGAGGTAGGCGCGCAGGTAGGCGCAGCCGGGGCAGGGCGCGGGGGGTTGGCAGGCGAGAAGAGAAAGAGGCAGGAAGTCCGGGCGGCTGATTCCGATTGAATAATTTATGTTTCATTAGCTGGAGGGGGCTTATAGGCGCCTGCCTCGCGCGCGCCGTTACATTCACAGAGCGAGAGCTGCTCTCGCTCGGCTCTGCACACACACTTGCCTCGAAATCCGACGCTGAAGCGGGCGGCTTCCTTTCACGCGCCTCCTACGGGCGCTTTCAGCGGCGCTCAAAAGAATTTTGTATCGAGGGTATTGAGGCGCGCGGCCGTGGCGGCCGCGGCGGCGTCCGCCCCCCGCTCGCGGTGGCTGCGAGGCCGACGCGTATCGCCGGCCGATTGTCGGGCGTCTTCGCCACCTGAATCATTCAGGCCGGGGACGGGATGCTGGCTCTGATCGAAGCCAGCCGAGAGGGCAGCGACGCGAGCCGCAGCTCGCGGCACTCGCTCGTCCAGTCGATAATAAGCTCGCGAGCCTTCGATGCCTTACCGGCCCGACTACCCTACCGACCGGAGCGCTCCTCCGCGCGGCCTAGCGGCCGACCCGGAGCCGCTGCGTGCTGCCTATTTCCGATTTTGCCCATCTGGCCCGACTCGCCTGGCAGCTGTGCGCGCCGGGGGCGCAACCCCTCTCGACCAGCGGCGGCCGACGTGTGCGCGTCATATTTTTCATTCTGACGTTAAAATGTGTTGGCCGCGCGGGCTTTTTGTCTCCTTCTCGTTAGCTCGAGCACCGGCGTCGCGGCGGCTCCTTCATTTTTCCCGGCCCACGAGCAATCCTTTTGCGCGGCCCGCGGCGGCCGTCGCAGTTTTTGCCCGCCACGTCCGTCTCGGGGGCGCGCGCGCGCGCCGACGGGAATTCATTTTCGTGCGCCGCGACTTTTCACTCGAGCCGCGGCTGACAGCCGACGGCAGAGCGCGGCGGCGCTGATTTTTGACCGGTCGCCCGCGCGCCACTTTGCGCCTTTTTCGCGCCGGCAGATTTCTCGGCTGTCTGCGCAACGTCGGAGCAGAGCGCGACGGCGAAACCGCCCGTAACCGTGAGTTTATTGGAAGCGAATTACCGCGGCAGGCTGAGATAGAGCCGAGCCGAGCGGCGGAGAGCGCGGGCACGAGTTACGAGAGATTCGATAAGGGTTAGAAGCCAGCAAGGCGTGCAGCATGTATATAAGAAACAGGAGCGAGGCACGAGCGAGGCAAGAGCGAGGCAAGAGCGAGGCAAGAGCGAGACAAGAGCGAGACAAGAGCGCGTGGGGAGGGCGCCCGTACAGATGTCCGTTTAAAGTCGTTGCTACTAATTAACAGCTGCGATTCATAGCGGCTGAGGTGCGCGCAGACAAGAGCCGCGAGACTGGCGGGCGGAGGAGGAGCGAGCGCCTTGTAAGGAGCAGCAGCGCGAGTGCGGTGTTGCTGTCCCCGGGGAGCGGCGCCTACGAGCCGCCTTGCCAGAATTAACGCCAGATTCTGCGATCTCTCGACGCTTGTTTGCTTGCCGCTGCCCTCTATCCTATCTCCCTAATAATAAACTGCTTATTCCCAATGCTCCTATAACTTACTCCCTTTCAGCGCTGCGCTGACCTGCCCTCGCCGCTCGCCGATACCTTGCTGCTTTTGTACTCTTACTGCCTTTCAACTTCAATTCCTATCGCCCGATCGCTATGCCCTCCGCCGAGCTGCATCGCCTTGCGTCGCTCGCCACTCGACTTTCTCTGGTCACGCTCGTGTTCGAACGATTGCACGCCGAGTGTTCATTTGCACGCTGTGCTCGATGAATATTTTTTTCCTTCTGCTCCGAGTTTCTTTACTATCTGTCTATCATATTCAGACAGTAAGGAAATCTTATTGCTCTGTGACATGTCTACATGAGGTTCCTCGGAAAGCTCCGGTGAGTATTCCGTCTTTGTTTTAATGTGTGCATCAAATAGATTAGAATTTATTTATGCATTCATTACTTTTGTTTCTTGAGTTTGGTGTTGGTGACGGATGTCTTAAAAAGTTTGTCGATGAGTTGATTTGGTTAGTTTTGAAGTTTGGATTTATATTTTTTTTTTAATTTTTTTAATTTTTTAAATTATTTTACTGTTGGAACCTGTAGGTAATTTTGGATAAAAATGGATGTAAAAATATTGAAAAAAAAACGCCCCCGGGTGGGCTCGAACCACCAACCTTTCGGTTAACAGCCGAACGCGCTAGCCAATTGCGCCACGGAGGCAACTGATGTCTTGTTACTCGTTATAACTCTAGGATATCTTCAGACCGTATCGTAAGCTTGACTATACTCATTTCTGCCGATATACAATACAAGCATGTAATGTTATGTTTTGACGCATTTCGTATGCCTTCACATGATTCGATGATTTTTGCTTCGTTTACCCGTTGCTATTTGTTTTGAATGTATCAAGGCCATTTTGTTCAATAAAACCTAATCTACTCAATACAAGTTGGTTACAATTTATCAAAAATTATAGGAAATTATAAAAAAAACTTAAAAATGATTTAATCGTGTGTCAAGACAGAATTACAGGTTTGTTTTCAAAAAGAAAATAAATAAAAAAAATGTAAATCGGGTTCGTATAAATAACCAATAAGTATTTTTAAAAACTTTCAAGAGTTGGAAATTAATTTTAGGTACGTAATTTATGAATGATATAATCAATTTTTATTATAAATATTTAAACTCGCGTATAGCTAGGTATCCAAGATTATCTCAATGACATTGATCTAGATTAACTATCACCACTGCAACATCGATTAATTTTTTATGAGGATAAAATTCTAGCAGTGTATATCTTGTGTATACGCACACATACACACACGTTCTCAGCGCCACTGCCAGTAGTGCCAGTCTAATAATACCAATGTATGTATCTCAAACATTGGCAGTACTGCGTGAGTAGTGACTTTCATCTATGTTCTGTCTGTTCTCCTTTTGAATTCGATTCGGCGCTCCATTCGCGCCTGCACAGAAGTGTGGCCAGCTTCGTTGTTTACTAGCACATGAGATTGGAGCGCGGCGGCATTGGAGATTACAACCTCAAACTATCTACCCGGCAAAATGACTTCGTGTACGGATCCGTTAGGATTAAACGAAAAAAAATTGTTCCAAGATTTTAAGAACAATTTGCCAAAGCTGACCAAAGAGACAACGAATATCCTGAAAATCCGTGACGATATTCTGTACCTGTGGCATGCCGAAAAGTGCTGTATTCTTACACTTGACATAGCCGCTGTTCGTGCTAAAAAAGAAGATGTACCCTATCAGGTGAGCTACTTGAAATACCTTTATTATTTACAAATAAATACATAGTTACAATTCTCACTTATGCGTTATTGCTGTAGAGATCTTATTTTGCTTGGAAAATGAAAGTTTGTTGGGCTCGACCTAACCTCCTCCACCATTGCATTTTTTTGTTTGATCTTCAACGTTGATACTTTTCTCAGAATCAAAACAAATTTTCACAACGCATTATCTGTTATTTTCATCCATCGACTGATGTGGGTCTTCAATTATAATGCATCTATCTATCTAACAGATAGGTTGTCGATGATCACAAGTTCATGCAAATACAGTCAATCAGGACTAATTGTGATTGTGATTAATCCATTGGACACCGATCAATAAACAGTTTGATTTAAATTTTAAAATCATCTTAGAATAGACTGAAAATTCAGTTGCACTTGTAAGGAGCCATAAGCTAATGTTGTAGAAAACTGCCATTCTACGTATACAGTGAACAAGCGGCATTGTAAATTTGTGGCAACCAATTGTGATGGGGATAGTTTAGGGTAGGGATGCGAAGAGCATGCACTGCCATGGTCTGTAATTTGTCAGAGCAATATGAGGTAGGAGAGCCAAGTGAGGGCACGGAAGTTGGTTCATGTAGGTAAAGGACAGCTGCGGGCAGGCAGACTGGGCAGGGATGGCGAGAACCGAGCGTTATTGGGTCTGACTGGCCAAGAGTGGAAAAAGCTGGCGCTGAAATGGAACGAAGCGGTGGCGAGCACGTAAGAGGAAAGGTGCGCACAGTAGTGAGTAGTCGGTTGGGAGTGGCGTATTAAATGGACGAGCGTGGGTGGTTTAATCGAGGCGGCAGCAGGGATGTCCACTTGGAAAATGATTACGCGTTAAATGAAAGCGAGGGAGCGCGGAGGTGGGTGGGTCGGAGGCTGTTTTGCAGGCAGCTACAATTGGCGCAGCTAGGTTTCGCGGCGAAGAGGGAAAAAGAGGAAGAGCATCGGAGAGCTGGCGCCGAGGGTTGCCGGCGCTTTTATTTCATTTGAATGGGCTGGGGAGCAGGGATCAGCGAGTACATTAATGCTCGGCGGCGGCGGTGGCGGCGGCCACGCACGGACACGAGCGCGCAGGGGCTCGCGGAGGAGCCGGCACGGGGATAATTTATAGGAAATGGCTTGTTCGACTGTACGCTCGGCCGCGAGTAATTTAATTAAAATAAATGTCCAGCCGAGGCGAAGTACAAGCGCGCCGAACAAAATGCAAATTCAGTGGGTTTTTGCGCTGGCCCACGCGTCCGTGGTGGCGCGGTGGCCGACGGGCTCGCGGCGTCGACGCGATCGCGGATCGCGGATCGGCGATCGAAGCGCTGGGGCCGCGCGCTGCACGTCGCTCGTAAATAATAAAAGTTGCTCCGAGGCTGGCTGGCAGGCAGCACTTGGAACCGGAAGATAGGTGTCGGGGCCGCGAGACAAAGACGCGCCATTGTGAAGCGCGCTGCGGCGGCGGCGGCGGTGGCATCGGAACCGGAGCCTCTCCGCGCCTCTCCGCGCCTCTCTGCGCCTCTCCGCGCCTCTCCGCGTCCCTCCGCGACCCTCCGCGCTTCTCCGCGCCTCTCCGCGCCTCTCCGCGCCGCGGGAAACTTTGAATCATTTTTATTGCATGGAGTTATCTTTGTTAGCGGCCCCGTTTAAAGCGCCTCCGCTACATTCTTCTCTTTCAGCCGGCCTGGCTTCCTCCCGCTCGCTGCGTCTGATAATGCCGCCGGCTCCGAAAGCATTCACACCCCTTTGCCTGCCCAAATGGAATAACTTCTTTAATTCGCAAATTTACCGCGGCCCGGCTCCTTATCGCCCGCCCGCCCCGCGGCCGCGGCTGCTCTTCATCAGACGCGACTTTTTGCCCGCACGCCACGCACTTCTTACAACTGGGATTAGTGCGCTTCATTATATCTGTCCGTCCGAGGCAGCCCGGCCGAAGCGGCCGCGCCCCATAATTCTTAATAAAGCCAGCGCCGGCAAGCAGACATGCCGCTGCTGAAATCTGTGTAATCTGGCGATGCTTCGCGCCTGGCGCGCGCGGGCCGCGCTGAAAAACCAGCGTAGCACCAGCAGATGCAGCCGGCAGGAAGGAAGCCCGGCTGGCGGCGAAATATTGCGCAAGGTGTCCGGGGACAGAGGTCAGGCAGCCCGGCGCGGTCCGTTATTATCTAAATTAAAAATGCCGCGCAATCTGGCGCCGCCAAGTGCGAGGCATTCCTCGCGGCGGCGGCGGCGGCGGCGGCGGCGGCCCAAGTCGGCGGCCGGCCGGCGCTGGACAGGCCCGGCGCGGCCGACGCGGGCGGCGCTGGCTTTTAGGCGGGAGAGCGCCCGAAAAAGAAGCGGCCGAAAGCGCCGGCGCCCTCCAAAGCGATAAATACGCGGCCGTTTAAAAGCAAACCTGCAAATGCCTCGCTCGAATTTGGCCGGCTGATATGCCGCCGAAATCGCTTTAAAAGTGCTCTATCTGGAGCCTTTTAAAGCTCTTCCTGCAGCGACTTCCTTGTCTCTTTGTCGCTGCGTTTCGCAGCTTTCACGTTCAATTTGATCCGCGGCTTTTTGCCCGAATGGCCGGCCAAAGTGCGCCCGATGACTGCGCGCGCCGCAATTAACATGACAGAGCCGAGAGCTTCAGATTCATCATCGGGCGCCGCCGTACCGTCGTGCCGCCGCGCCTCCGCGCGCTCCGATGCAAGTGCGCGGCCACGGCGCTGTATTGTGCGCAGCCGGCTGGGGCCGCATTATCATGCTAATTTGTTGCAAACAAACGTTGTAACGCGGCTCGGCGGAGGAGGTGCGAGGTGTCGCTAAGACGCCTCCGCGTCGGCTGCTTTGGACAGTGTCCATTGTCTCGGGATTATTTATCGGGCAGCCAAGGCCACTTTCTTGGCCAATTTATACCGCGGCGACAACAAAGCCCGCGCAAGTTTGGCCGCGAGCAAACTTGCGCCCGCGCCTCGGAAAAGCCCCGAGCCCCGGCACGTAGGCGCGCGAGCGACAAGTCGTAAAGCCGGCCAACTTCGCCGGCGGCTTTATTGACAAGTCTTTATTAGAAATGCGCGACAAGTTGTTCTTTTGGCGGAGCGCATTCCTGCAGGCGGCCGGCACTAAATCCAGCGAGCGCGTTTACGGCCCCCCGAGATAATGCGCAATCATTTCCAAATGGAAATTAAAATCAGATGATGAATCCTAACGATGCCGTTTATTATTTTAATTTTGCCGGCGCGCCCGGCCGACACTTCGAGACACTAAATTACCTTCCTATTAGCCGTGTAATTACAAGAAGGCCCCAGTCATTTCCGTTTATTTCGCCCTTCCCCCGGCGCTCCGCCATTTTTAAGGCCAAACAATCTGCCCTCCCGCGCAAACAAACTTTGGCCTGGCTCGGCCGCGACCGGCGCTTGACGGCGCTTGCCGCCGCTTGCCGCCGCGATTCGCTCGCGGCCACATATTTCTTTGTTTACGACAGTCGATAAATTTGCCTTTCCGCGGCTTTACATTTAGCAAGCCGGAGTGTCGTAAAGTGCCAAAGTCGTTCTCGCCAGCGCCGGCTTATTATAATGTAACGATAACTTTTTACGCCTCTGCGCGACATCGAACTCGACTCCCCGCGACGATTCGCGACGATTCGCGACGATTCGCGACGATTCGCCGGCAGACGAGCGCAAACAAACGGCTCCAAATAATAAAGGCGCGCGCCACCCAGCCAGGCCGGGCTTTTTAATTAAGGACCTTTTTATGCGCGTTAAAAGACGCGTGCGCACTCGCGAGCCGGAGTTTCTTGGTTTCCGGCATCGAGATGCGTGTGCGCCCTTACGTGCTGCGGGCCCGGGCGCCTAATTATTTTTCGCCGAAAGAGAGCGGCATTAGCGCGCGCCAGCTAATTAAAAAAGCCTCGAGTAGGTAAATATCCGCAGTGCAGTGGCGCCTCATAAAACTTGAAACAGCACGCTTGCTTTCCTTTATGCCGCGCGGCCGCGTCTCTCCTTACGTCGCGCCGCCACGATCCGAGGGCTCGCCGGCCAGACCTCGTCAAATTCGTAATCCGGATGTGCCCGCCGCGCCAGCTCCCGCTCCTCGCGGGATTTTTCTTTTTCCTTTCAGCGCCATTAGCCAGCCCCATTGGCTGGCTCGCGCGCTCCTTCGCAAATCCCGACGCGGACGCAGCCGCCCAACCAAAGGATTCGCTTCTACCCGCTTCCTTCGCCTTATAGCCGCGATGATGTAGCAACTGCCGAGGCGTGCCGCTGCAACTTTGCCGCGCTCTTTCATTGCCGCCTCCCACTCGAGATTGCAACGATAAATTTTAACTTAACTTTCGTCCTCTCGCGCTTTAAGCCCGGCTCTCTCATTCTCTAGACAACCTACGCCAGCTGATACGCTCCGCTCCTTTATTCTTACGATCAACTTGTGCTCAAAATGCCTGCCCATCAGCTCGTCTTTCCTAAGCCGAAAACGACCGTTCTGCCATCATTCGCGCGCCTCGGCAATAATAAACGCCGCCTGCCTGCCTGCCTGCCTGCCTGCCTGCTCTCCCTACTTCGCCGCTCGAGATGCTTGTTTTCCTAATGCGCACGCACGATCTTCGCCATCTTACACGCTCAAGCTCCAAACGACAATCGGACGTCCACGCTGCCACTCGATCTTTCCACTTCGGACTCTCGCGTTTACAAACTGACTTTACTACCACGTCAAACGATCCACGAAGTACGTTCGTTCAAAAATTGCCGCGCTCCAAATCAAATCCAGTGGACGTCCAACGAATCCCTACAAAATCTTTTCCTTCGCACGGACCTTCGTACCTTACAGGATATACTCGCTTGAGTTCAATAAATACCTCGTTATTTTGCAATAGAAAGAGCTTACAAGCTGACTGAGCTGCGGAAAACAATGTTTTATAAATGATTTTAAGATTTTTTTCCGGTCAAATTTACTCTGCGGTACGCTAAAATTGGGACACCATGACCAAAACATTACAAATTCTAGATCATA